CAACAAATCCAGCGCTTATTAGCCAGAAAAAAAAAAACAACCAGCGAACAGACCGAAGTTGTGTGGCTACACATTTTCCTCCGGTTTCTATTTTTTTTACTTCACATCGGTCTGCGAGTCCGCTTCGGCCGTTGGGCGTAGACGTCCGGTCCCCCGTCCCTTTTTTTTTTCCTTTGGCTCCTCCGTCCTCATGTTTGAGCCCGTATCGGATTTCTATTGATTTTTTCATAATTGTCAGAAATGAATAATAAATGTAATATTATGGACCTTTGAATCGTTGATCCTTCTATATAATATAAACAAAACATTTCACTACTAAATTGTTAATGTAGTTATGCTTAGAAACCAAATTATTTTTGTTAAAACCTGGATCAACGGATAGTCCAACTAATCAAAACAGTTAGATAGTATGAAAACTAAAGGTATGGTATATTTATGAGTAAATATTTTCTATAATTAGGAGAAAAATATATCAAGGTTGTTTTTTAATTCGAGAATGGTTTAATAGGATATCATATTATTAAAAACATTAACTTATATTATAAATGTCATGATTACCGTTACCATTGTCATTTTTTATCAACGTTTGATAGTTTTTTTTTCTCCCGTTGCAATGCATGGGGATATTTGCTAGTTCAGAAATAAAATGCAATTGTCAATTTAACCCTTACAAAAAAATTATAAAGACTTAAAAATTTACATAGTTGTTAGCTTTTGTATGGTTGATCTTTTGACTTTGAAAAATATATGTGATCTAATGATAAATATTTACAAGTGCTACTGCAACATATAATAAAGAATTATGATGTCTACTTTATTGGAATAAAAATTAAATTTCCTCCTACCTAATCTAAGCATTTAATATAAAAAAACCAAATGAAATAAAAGGACTTGGTTTAGAAAGAAGTGATCTTGAAGGGCCAATCTGTACTTCATATATTTCAAGCAGACTAGACAGAAGTTTTCTTTAAATGGATTCTCTTGTTTAGATGTATATGGCACCAAGGATTCAACACAATCAATTCGTCTTGTTAGATCTAAAGTATACTTCTATTTTGCTGATGATTGCATCATGTGTTGCATCAATTGAAGCTAAAGATAGTAAAAACGCTAATAAGGCAGTTGGTCCATATACAAATAGAGGTGGCAAAATGATGGCTCATGCGTCGTGCTCCTATCCCCGTTAACTGTAGCTAGGCATGCCAAATTTACTTGCGGCAGTCCAATTATTGGTCATGAACCAAATAGATGTCAATTTCTTAGGGCTGTCCAAATATTGGCTTAGCCAACAACAGGTATAAAACCAAACACGCCCTTAATACACAAGCTAAGGCAGCAAAGCAGGTACTAAAATACCTCCACACTCATGTTGATAGTCCTGAAGGCATCCATTCGCCAACACTAGTCCAACAAAATGTTGACAAGGGCACTTCCTCACTAGCATAATCAGTATAACATAGAGATTAAATATTGCAGAATATACACATGGAAAAATATCTTTGATGGTTTCATAAGCAATTTAGCATGCTACCCCTACTGTAGTGCTTGTAGTGGAAATAGCACTCAAGAAACTTGTCGACAAAAGATGCTCGGCAGTCCTACGAGGGGTATCCCACGAAGGTATTTTGATCGGTGGAGGTGTGCGTAATTAGGAACCGTATGGTGACACAAGACGCAGAGACAGCGATTTAGACAGGTTTGGGCCGTCTGATCGATGTAATACCCTATGTCCTGTGTCTTTGGTGTATTGTATTGAATATGAGATGTATGAGATGTCGTCTAGGGGACCCCTGTCTCTCCTTATATACTTTGGAGGGGTAGGGTTATAATAAAAGTATCCTATTTGGTACTATACAATATCTTGCGGTGCACGTCGAGCAGTGTCGTGCACGTCTTGATCTTGTGGGCTAGGCCACCTCTAATGGTGCGGCCCATGTCTTGTCTTGTGGATACCGGGGGTCATACCCCCACAGCTAGTCCCTGAGCCTGACAGTAGGTGACGTAGTCACGTGGTGCCAGGGTCAGAAAGTAGAAGAAAGGTAGAAGGCAGGCCAAGCAAGCAACCAGTCCATAGGCAGATCCCTAAATTAAAAAGCGCACATTCACCGCAAGGTGAAGTGTGCCCACTTAGTCCCTGAGCCTGCAGGAAGATGAAGAATGAATCTTGTAGAAGGGTCAAAGAAAAAGAAGTCTGAAAACTTGCCGACGTCGTCTGACATTCGTGTATCAAGACCCCAGACGTGCTGTCCAAGATCGGCACCCTGATCCGAACAACATGGAGCAACTTGATAGCACACCGATGAGACGTAACAAGATCCGACCATCAAGGGAGTCCCCGGCGTAGCTAGCGATGTCCAAGCACTGAGGAGTCCCCGACGTAGCTGGCGACGTCCGAGCACCGAGGAGACCCCGGCGTAGCTAGCGATGTCCGAGCACCGAGGAGTCCCCGGCGTAGCCGACGATGTCCGAGCACCGATGAGTCCCCAGCGTAGCTGGCGATGTCCGAGCACCGAAGGAGTCCCCGGCGTAGCTGGCCATATCCGAGCACCGAGGAGTCCCCGGCGTAGCTGGCGATGTCCGAGCACCGAGGAGTCCCCGGCATAGCTGGCGATGTCCGAACACGGAGGAGTCCCCGGCGTAGCTGGCGATGTCCGAGCACCGAGGAGTCCCCGGCGTAGCTGGCGATGTCCGAACACTGAGGAGTCCCCGGCGTAGCTGATGATGAAGCACGAGCGACAAACAGTCCAATCAACTGGTCGGTGGTGAAGTGAACATTGAGTAGAAGCGACCGGCGAATAGTCCGATCAACTGGTCGGCGATGAAGTCCTTGAACTTAGCGGTTCGACCAGTTGATCGATGGAGAAGTCCGAGCACCGAGGAGTCCCCGGCATAGCTAGCGACGTCCGAGCACCGAGGAGTCCCCAGTATAGCTAGCCATGTCCGAGCACCGAAGGAGTCCCCAGCATAGCTGGCCATGTCCGAGCACCGAGGAGTCCCCGTCGTAGCTGGCAAGGTTCGAGCACCGAGGAGTCCCCGGTGTAGCTGGCGATGTCCGAGCACCGAGGAGTCCCCGACGTAGCTGGCGATGTCCGAGCACCGAGTAGTCCCCGGCGTAGCTGGAGATGTCCGAACACCGAGGAGTCCCCGGTGTAGCTGATGATGAAGCACGAGCGACGAACAGTCTGGTCAACTGGTCAGCGGCAAAGTGAACATTGAGTAGAAGTGACCCGCGAACAGTCCGATCAACTGGTCCACGACGAAATCCATGAAACTAGCGGTTCGACCAGTTGATCGGTGGAGAAGTCCGAGCACCAGGTGGTCTGATCACCTGAACGATGATCCTGCAATACAAATATGTAGAACGGGTAGTACATGATGTAAAAATATATGAACTCCAAAGAAGAATCAGTAATGGTGATGAAATAGCATATGCAGCTCGGCGATCAGTTGGTGTGAACACTTTGTGTTATTCTAAAGATGTATTTATATTTAATATAAACCGTCCGACCAGTTAGTGTGTAGCTGAGTCTCCAGTCCTAGCTAGCCCGTTAAACATAACGCGGAGCGCGGAGCCCGTGTGCATGTAGGAAGAACAAAGTGTCGCTAAGGAGCCGCTGTCGACCACCCATAACGTAGAGGGCAGACGCCCGTGCACGTGTAGGGAGGAGCCGAAGATAGGGCCGTCTCTGGGGACATCCGAGCGTCAACATGACTGTTTGGGGGTTCGCCTTAGACTTAGCTGTATGTCATCTTTAAGATGATATACATGTAAGAAAATCGTTTGGTGAGCAAACATGGAGAAAATAGCTCGGAGAGACATTATGGCGATATACAAAGATTGGAGAATATTTGGAAAAATATTAAAGCATGACTTAGCTTTAGACAGAATGTCTGGTCGGCGGCGTATGGCGTTATCTGGTCGGCGACGCAGGCAGCTCACTTAGCGGCTCGCTTGATGGCTGGAACGAAGTTGATCTCGTGTTGGAGTAGGACAGACGTAGTCGGAGCTTGGCGATGTCAATCTGCGTACGAAGACGTACGCCGTGGTTGTCGAAGGATGTCAACGCGATCAGCCGAGTTGCCACGAAGGATGTTGATCTTGAGTTACGCCATCTGGTTCGCCAGGGATCAGCACGCACGAGCCCCACGGTGGGCGCCAACTGTCGACAAAAGATGCTCGGTAGTCCTACGAGGGGTATCACACGAAGGTAGATTGATCTGTGGAGGTGTGCGTAATTAGGAACCGGATGGTGACATAAGGCGCACAGACAACGATTTAGACAGGTTCGGGCCGTCTGATCAACGTAATACCCTACGTCCTGTGTCTTTGGTGTATTGTATTGAATATGAGATGTATGAGATGTCGTCTAGGGGACCCCTGCCTCTCCTTATATACTTTGGAGAGGTAGAGTTACAAGGAAAGTATCCTATTTGGTACTATACAATATCTTGCGGTGCACGTCGAACAGTGTCGTGCACGCCTTGATCTTGTGGGTTGGACCACCTCTGATGGTGCGACCCATGTCTTGTCTTGTGGATACCGGGAGCCATACCCCCACAAAACCACTTATCCACCGTAGCCCATTGTTTAAAACATTGCCTAAACCATGTATGGTATCGCTGCCCACCACTATGCTATTTAACACACAATCCTCTTCCAAATCCGGAACCCTTGCTTCACGAAACCTAATCCCACCTAGCACCCTGATGGCCGATGACATGGCGGCGTCCGTGTACCCTCCCCCGCCATTGCCGTCTCCGCCTGCAACGCAACCTCGCTCAACCTCTCCGCGCCACCGTCCCCCTCTCCACCAGTCATCCCCTCAGCCTCGGCGACACAAATCCCAAGCATCCTAAACACCCTGGCCTCCCTAGATCTGGACTCCTCCTCCGATGAGGATGCACCCGGCCAGTCTGTGCTCCTCTCTCGCATCTTCAAGTCCAAGCGGATCGAGCTCTCTGACAACCGCCTCTCTGCAACTAGCAACAAGGGCTACCACATGGTGCGTGCCACGCATGGCGTCACAGCGGGGACCTGGTACTTCGAGGTCAAGATCGTGTACCTTGGTCCCACTGGCCACACCCGCCTTGGATGGGCCACCAACAGGGCTGACATCGAGACGCCCGTCGGCTATGATGCTTATGGGTTTGGCTACCGTGACGTTGATGGAGCCAAGGTGACTAAGGCTTGGAGGGACAAGTATGCTGATGAAGGGTACGGGGAAGGAGATGTCTTGGGGTTCTACATTTCTCTGCCTAATGGGAAGCAGTATGAACCGAAGCAACCTAACAAGGGAATGCCTCTTCATGTGCAAGTCCCCAAGAAGGCGCAGAAGACTCCGGATCCTGTTCCTGGTGAGTACTTGTTTTAATAGCTCTTGTGTCTATGGTAGATTGTAGTGCCAACTAAGAAAAGAGTACAATTGTCAAATGAAATGGGTATGAGCTATCTATTTTATAAATAATAAATTGTAGCTTCATATAACAGCCAAGGTAAATTGTTTGTCACTCAGTATTTTGTATGATGTACACAACTGCTTTGAATTGTATAAATGAATTGCTCAGGTTTCAAGATGATAACTTAAAAAAGAATGTTTTATCATCTTAAAAAAAAGAATGTTTTATAGAATAGGAAATCATGTTGTGTACAACACAATTACTTACTTTTACAATGGTATTAGTTATACAACAAATAGTTAGAACTGTGGAAAATTTATATATCATAGGCCAAAATTGTGCGCTGATGTTGAATTATTAGGCAGAAAAATTATTGATAATGATTCATGGTTGTGTCGCTAGATACCTGATTTACCGTTAGGCCACTACACAAATTTGTGGCCCCTCTTTAGTTACCATATAGGCTACGACTTGAATGTGTATCTGACATGATATATCTGCATGGCACACACTCTATATGGTAATTTCCATTTTATTCATCTTGTAATCTGCAAGGCCTAAAAAATAGTCCAATAAGTCATTTATTTTCATATTAATGATGAAGTCTTTTAGAGACGAGGAATGCTCATAAGGTAACATGGAATAGGGAAACGAAGCAGCAGCATATGCTGCCAACTCACTACTAGAAACATAAATTTTCAATAGATTTTCTATACAGATGATATTCAGAGAACGGATGAATTAGTTTTCCAGCTCAATTGAAGATAATGAGCATGTTTAGTAAGTAGTTTCATAGACCCCCATTGTTTCCTTCAAAGTAATATGTGAATATTTTCTTCAAAGGATTGCATGCATGTATACTTTTCCTTGAGAAGAGTGAGCATATATCTATTGTTCAGGATGAAGTGCTCAATCAACAAGGTAGAGATATCCCATAAGATTAACAAGTCAAGAACAAAACAAACTGAACAAAAGAAAGTCCCTCCAACATTCTGTCTGGAAAGAAATAATGCTAACTTTATTAAGTTGACTAAATGCCAATATACTACAAATAAAGAATGTCAGGAATAAAATTGACTCAACGGATCCTGTTGCAGTTTTGCTAAGCACAATTTGCTTCCTCTATTCCGTTCTCTTTTATCCATCCCTTATGGTATTGTGATATTCTTGGTTATACATAGCAACAATGATTTATTACTCTATTGGTGCAAGGAAGCTAATTGGAAATCTATATTGTGGTATAACCTTTTCATTTGGGACTTTACATCTCTTGACATTGTAGCACCTTTGCACCTTGTAATTGCTTCTAGTAGACATGAATAATGATGTGCATCTTCAGTATTTATTTACGGAAGTATGTTTTAGTAGCTTCCATACATGAATAAATTGCATTTTTTAAAATGATATTTGTATAATTTAGTTAGAAATCACAATTGGTTATGCTTGAGAGGTTTAATTTTTAATTTGCCCCCTCGGTGATAAAATATTCGGATGTTGGGTGTTCAATATGTATTTCCTCCCTCCTGAAAATATAAGGGATCTAAGTTTGGGCCAAAGTCAAACTATCATATGGTCGACCAAGTTTTAAGGAGAAGAACACATCTACCGTATCCAATAAGTAAATTATGAAACTGTATATTTCATAATATATCTAATGATGTTAATTTTGTGTCATAAAAATTATTACTCTTTTCTATAAACTTGTTGAAACTTAATTAGAACGGTTTGAGTTAGGACAAATTAAAATCCCTTATATTTTAAGACGGATCTAGGGGGTATTATAATGTGATTGGTGTACGCCTATTTGTGTTCCTTTATATTAGCTTTGAGTATACTGTAATTGTGTGCGCCCCTTTGTGTTCCTTTATATTACACTTTGATTTGCATGCATAAATACAAAAGGATGTGTCAACAACAGCTCTTTTACACTTTTGTTTCGTAGAATCTATCATCGATTATTTTATTTGTTCAGGGGGTTTGAATATCCTATGGTTCTTGCATATGCAGGTAGTGAGATATGCTACTTTAAAAATGGGGTATGCCAAGGCAGTGCCTTCAAGGACATACCTGGAGGGAGGTATCACCCAGCCGCGTCGATGTATACAGAGCCTGGCGAGCCAGACTGCATCATCAAATTCAACTTTGGGCCAAACTTTGAGTTCTTGCCACAGGATTTTGGAGGCCTGCCAATTCCTCAGCCAATGAGCTTGGTGCCTCATCAGGCGTATGAAGTGAAGAATGAGGGGCCTACTAAAAATGCCATCGTTGCTTAAACTGCTATCATGTTGTTGTTTTTTAACTATGTTGAGTAAAAAACAAGCAAGCCTATATCTGGCTGGATCCTGGTGAAGTTGGCTGCAATAGTTATATCTGACTGGATTAATAATAATGCTTAATTATGTTGTTACAAATGGGTTTGATCTTTTCTATCCTTGGCTGGGTTATGAAGTTATTGTGGTGCTGCTGATCGTAGGTGGTAGTGGCAAACTAGTGATGGCGTGTAAGGGAAACCAGATGGTGTCATGTGTCGTGCTCTGCAGTAGTGGGAAGAAGAGTAGTCAGGGAAACTAGATCGATCTGAACTTCTGAAGGCCTCTGCCTTCTTCTACATCAATGCCAATAAACCACCTTCAATCATCTTCTACAGTAGCGATAGGGAGGTGCCATTGACGGACAGAGAAAGAACCACCACACTGAGTGTGCCATGACCTCGTCAAGTTCAAAACTGATGGCTGTACAAGTGTACATTCACATTCAGGATACAATTCATGATTGCAACACCCCGCATCTAAAATGTTCCTATGCCAGGGGCGAATTTGCCATTACCACTGGCGAAAACACACCCACCCATTTGTTCCTCGTAGGCTGTCACAAGATTGGCAACTCTAGCAAAATGTGTACTTAAGTTTTTTTCTAGTATGCTCTAACTTGCCCTCAACCCAAAAGAATTTTACAACCAAGCCAATCCTATCAATTAGCATATGTCTAACCTAGTGTGGTAAAGGTCACACACGCAAAGCACAAGTGAAAACAACGAAAATGGTAACTAAAGAGCTAGAGATAGAGAGGGCAAACTCTTAGAACGTAGTAACATATCTATATGCTATCAGTTGCCAAATCGTAACCTCTAGTCTATGTTGGAGGTCCACCGAGGTACGCACTCAGTCACCAAGTCTAATTCCGGTCATGGTGTTGGATTGCCGCACAAAACCACACCAACCAAAGGCTAGTACCATGAGTCACAAAGTCTCACTACTACCACGCCTAGCTCTACCGGTCACTTTAACGTTGAGTACACTATGAAGGTTCTCCAAACTAGAGGGGTCTCCTAGTCTCCTGTAGACCGACGCGATGCCACTCCACACGGAAATAAGAGGGTCACCTCCTGGAAGGTCTTCACACCTTCATTGGAAGGTCACAACAACCTCAAGGTCCAAGGTTCACAATGATACCTCTAAAAGATCTCAAGCTCTAAGGCTTTACAAGGATGAACTATAGTGTCTATCATAGCCTTGGATGTAATCTTGTTGTTCTTGAGAGGGTGAATGGAGTGTAAAAACACTTGCTCTAATTTGTTCTTGAGCAGGTGGGCATCACGTTCGCCTCAGCCAAAACGGCTACGTTAATCACTTTTTTCCCTAGGCGGTCCTATGCCTGCTAGTGAAAATTGATTAAAAAATTAAAAAGTGAAAGCCCGCTGGCGAGCCTATTTCTGAGCGCACTGTCAAGCCCGCATGCTCCGAGTGGGCCCCACCGCCGGTGGATCCGGCTCCCACGTGCCGCCGCCACCGGGAGAGGCCTCCTCGCCTATGCCGTCGGTGGATCCAGCTCCCCCGATGTCGCCGCCGCCGAGGGAGGCCTCCTCGTGCGGGCTGTGGCAGAACCACCATAATTATATGGCCCACATGCAACTGTCATTGTCTTTAAGACCTCTGATTACTGCACATGAGAGCCAGATAACTTAGGTAGTCTGTCGAGTGTCCTCGGAGAACCCCGAATCATCCATATTTTACAACTCATACAGGATCAACATGGAGTTACCACAACATTACAACAGTTGGTACAAAAATATCATACATCAGAGTGCGGAAGATTTACAGAATTAGATTACAAACCATGTTCAAGTCAAAACTTAACTTAAGTTCCAAATAGTGAGTAGAATTGCGAAGCGACTAAGGTAAAGCATCTAAGGTAGAAGAGACGACCAGATCATGTCGAGCCCACTGACATGACCTCGATCAACAACACTAGTCAGAACCTGCAACAGGGGTTAACAAACCCTGAGTACTTGAGGGTACTCAACAAGTCTTATCCGGCCAAAAGAAAAGACTCCAAGAGCATGCTGGCTTAAGGAAAGATTGAAGCAAGAAGTAACTTTTGTAGAAAAGCTTACTACCAGTAGATCCTTACTTTCAATGTTTTAGCTTTGTATTAAGCTCATCATCGGTATCCAATTTGCACCTGATCTAAATCAATCACTTCATTAAACATCTCATCTCAAATTATTCCATCTCATATCCGAAGTAACCATCGGTACCATGTTCCATTGATTAACTACGATGTAGAGCAGATAATCGAGTTCCTTCTCCGAGAAGCACGACGATTCGAATCGATTTGGCCTAGCTGAGGTTTCCTTACCACACGACATATGCAGGTCCTAGACCTACATATATCAACCTTCACTCGGATCCTCCAAAACGTGAACCAGTCTGCGCTACCTGAGAATATAGCACTCCACCATCCTACATCATCCGTGATGTTTCCGTAAGGTGGGTACACGCTACTCTCGCCATCTCCCACTCCCAGTGTGTAGTTAGCTTTTCACATAATGGAATAGCCGAGGTCTTAGGCTTACAGGAGTATGTGGCCAGTACTGCAAAGTCTCGACGCACATTGGTCTACAACGAACGGTCCTTAATCGGCACAGGCGGAGCACTACACCGATTCATTTCACGATGCAAGCCACCCGCCTGGTCTCGATTTAAATATTAGCATTATCATGGTATTCTCACGATCCATCGACAGAGCCGAGAAGAGCAAGGTAAAACTATTTCTCTCGAGTGATGAAACCATCATTTGACTTCTATCGAAATCTAAGCATTACTAAGCATAAGAGGTATCAACCTATTCATACTAGTAGGGTATAACTAAGGATACATGATTATCAAGGTAATCATGCAGCAGCGGTATTCAACCAACTCCTAATTACTTGATGCACATTTCACAAGACTTAAAGTGTGATAAAGATTTATAAATACTAGAGAAGGGTTTATGCTCCGGGGCTTGCCTGCATTGCAGAGAAGGCTAGTTCCATAGAGGATCACAAGGGTTAGACTTGGCATCAACACCACGGGTGGATGAACCTTCTCCAAAACTTGATCAACACGAGTCTTCTCACTCTCGTTTAAACTACACATAATAAATGATGCTTACTTAATATGATGGAATGCATGATATGATGCATGATGAAATACACAAGTGCATAACAGAACGTAAACTAACCTAAGAAAGTTGAGTACAACTTTCCTTCGCAGTACAACTAGGGTTACATCTCACAAAGCATTTTAATTACTTAACTAACAAGTTAATTAGTTGTTACCATGGAAACAACACTTATTAAACTTAGCATGGACCGGCAAGAGACTAACATTTAACTTAACCCATGATCATTATAAGAAACTAATTACAAAGATCATCAACCATTATTTAGCATAGCTATTTATCATATTAGTAAGAGATCATGTATACATGCTATCTCAAAAGGTTAAGCTAGCATTAACATACTTAAGCAACCATATTAGATTATTGCATACAAATAGTAATCACAAGGCTTACATATATGCATCTACTAAACAAGCATTTGAATAAATCATTTTAATTATTAACCAACAAGTGGATTGCAACCAAATCATGAAGGCAATTAAGTTGCCAAGGAACAGCAGGGGTTTGTTGCTCCATGGTCTACAAACAGTGCTCAAAATACACCAAAGTCAATCAAGCATTTACCTTAATCATTTTAGTATTTATTAATCATGAATAAAAGGCATTTATATACACTTAAATGAATTAACAAATTTAGAATTATCAAAACAGTATCAAACTTTTTGTGAAGGCATATATTAGCATATAACATTTACACAAAAAGTTTCATGACCATAGGATTAATATTTTTGTCTATAAAAATCATGCAAGGTTCATTTTATAATTAAAAGAGGTAATTTTTAAGCATGCCAAAACTACTGACTATGGCAAACTTATATTTTTCCTATGTAGAGCACATTATAGCAAGGCTACACAAAAAGTTTCACAATTTTATCATGCTTCTATATTGAGTTATGGATTAAACAAGAATCAGCACTTTTAATCATTTTCTAAAAATCAAAACCGATTGAAATTCTTTTGTTACTCAGCCCCCTTCCACCCTCAGTCACTGACAAGCGGCCCCCGGGTCGCACCCGCGCTGACCGTGGCGCAGACGCCGTTGACTGGCGGGTTCTTCCCGGCGGTGACCTCGACTGCGACGAGGTCAACTCTGGCAGACTCGGCTCACTTGCACGCACACGCTGGTGTTGATAGTTGACCCGTTAGAGCACAGCAGCAAGCACACCGGCGGCCATGGCGGCCCGGCGGTGCTCCGGCGCGGTGGAGATGACCGACGGCGGCACCTCCAGCGACGGAGACGATACCAATAGACTCATCACGACCTAACGGACATATATAAGCTACCAATTGATCGAGTTAGGGCTCCGCGCGAGCTTGCCCGCGACCATGGCCCTGCTTTAATGTATAATAACGGATTGGCCCATGGGTTCAATTGATCTAGAAGACAACCAAGACAGCTGCTCAGGTATTTCTGGACATGTGAATAAAAAGCTAGGAAATGAGATTGACAAAACAAAGGGACATTGGGATGAAAAAAAATATTTTTCATGCTTTGGTTATTGTATTGAAATTTATTTAGACTCGTAGCAAAGCATGTGCAGAGACCTATATATGTATGAAGCACCAAAACCATTGTCCCATAGCCTGTTGTTTGCTCGAGTGGTTTTCTTCTGCCTTTGCAGGACGTTTTTGGAAAAACCCTAACAAAACGGCAAAACACCCAACACCTTCCATCACCCTCGATATAATTATAATAATTGTCATTGATCGATGAGTATCGACATTGATTGACGATTGGAGCTACGCCTAGCATTTAACAATAGTCGTCAGGATCATGTCACCTATAGACGGCCCTTTTAGTTGGCGCCATTGCTGGATACAAACGACACTT